TACAGGTACATACTGAGGTACTACTTTGTGGAGAACGTGGCTCCTTGCTATTTCTTAGGAATGTGCTTCTCTCTTTATTTAATTTTATGATTGATTAATTGATTGACTGATTGACTGCAGCTCTGGGGATGCAAGCCAGAGGCACGGTATCACTGAGCTGCACCCCCAGCCCTTTTTATTTTGATACAGGGTCTCCCAAATCACTACATTACTCAGGCACTCATAATCCTTCTGCTTTGGCCTCTCAGAGTGTTGCGCTTACAGACTCTGCCCCATTGTCTTCAACTGCAGACGGGGCAGGAGGGGCATCCACACCTCCCAGAAGGCCCTGCTTACTCTCTCTTTGCTGCGCTTGCTCCAGCCCCTTGTACACACTCCTACAACAATATGTGCACTTGCTAGAATGTGGCGTCAGCTTCTGCCTCGTGAACTAAACTCTCGGAGAGGTTTCTTGGAACTCTAGCACATAAGTTTTTATTAACAATCTGGAGATAAAACAGTAATGAGAAGTATCATTTCCAGGGGACCAACTGAGCTGGACTGCCTGTAAGATCAGATGTGATACAAAGATTTGTTTCTAAAGCTGAGTTTTACCTAATAAAATAGCACTGATCAAAGGAGAACCTCAGAGGAAGAATGGGCTCCCACCTGCATCAAATACAGAGAGGCGATTTCTTTACAAAGTTCTACCGGTTACAAGTATAATCTCAGAGACAGGGCCCATTCGCGCATACTGTCTGATGTTAAATCAGAGCTTCATTATACAGTAAGTGAAAAGCATAAAGTTGACAATTTTTACATCTATTGTCTTCAAGTTCTCTTTCGATCTTGTACTTTTAAATTGTTTTCAGATAGAATTAATTTTTAGAACACACAACCTCAGTATTGAGTATGTGCGTGCGCATTTACTGTGCAATCGCAAGTGAAGTTTTCCTTTGATTCCCCACTGAATCCCTCTTTCGTAACAGTGTTATGAAGAGCACTTAAATCTTACCTAACAACTTAGAGTACAATTTAGTATAAAAATCAGCGGAGAAATATTATGCAGTAAGGTCTGTTTAAATGAGCTATGAGCAGTAAAAAAAAAAAAAAAAAATGCAGAGGGAGGCATGGCTTATATGCATGGAGGAGAAAGCAGGCATCTGGAAGGAGGCAGCGTGAGCCACCTCAGGTCTCAGAGAGACAGCAAGGCTCCCGGGCAGCCTTTCCCCATCTGGTCACCGTGACGGGGTGGTACCGAAAGTATGGGATGAGCGCAAGAGAGCTTTTACAACACCACACACCAGATGCATCTCTAAGCAGAGCATTTCACATACGGAGACTGATTAAATTATCAAAGCTCCCAGGGGAGGAATTATTATCATAGCCCAAGACCCGGAGTCGGAGGAAAGCAGTGCACCTGCAAGTGGTGAATCAGGACCAGCAGCCTAAGGCCAGGGCCCGAGTTTTCACTTCATTACCTGCTGCCAGCTGGTTATTGCGTTTGCAAGGATGTTCCCAACTCAGGAGATCCAGGTCTATCTACCTCTAAATAGTAACGCTAAATAAATAAATAGCAATGCCTCCTGTGTCACATTTTCAAATATATAAGAGACTTAGCTAGAGCAGTAAAACTAAGAACAACTCTAACAAAAATCCCATGGGGGTTCATACAGCATTCTCTATTCGTCCTGTGTATCAATAACTAATACTCATGAAGAATCCAGCATACAAAAGGGGAGGCGAGACGACTCATTTTCACAGTGTAATGGTACAAGAGTCCTGCATATTCTACAGCACATGCATGACCACATGGAATTGTCACTGCAGATGTATTGTCATTGTCTTCAGACATCTACCTATAAATAAAGCACTTCTACTGTCTCCTCCTACATTGCAAGCTAGGAAAGGGGAATTATAGAAATGAATCGACTCACCCCATACATTCTAAAGAAATATATTTTCCCCTCTCAATTTTAGATTTGATAATATTTATACAGAAGGCTACACATGACTCCATAATTTCAAACTTTATGATTTTATAATACAGTAGTCTACAACTCTTACAAAAGATTATTTTCTCATAAGTCAATGGATCCTTGAGAAAAACAATGCAGTATGTTACTGACTGGTTTATTATTATAAATAAGATTAATTCTCACAAATTTCTCCTGGTAGCTCAGAAAATAAAGTCATTCACTACATGAAGAAAGAAATTCCACATGAATCATGAAATTAAATGAATAATGAAGAATGAAAACAAACCAGAAAAAGAAAAGAAATCAAGTAATTAAACAAATAATAAAGAAAAAAAAATACACTGTAGAAAAACCAGCAGAAAATCCATTTGAATATTCATCCAAGTTTTGGAGAGGGAAAAGCTTTTGAGAATTAGAGATTGTCTGGATAAATAAATACACGAAAAGACTAACAGATTGAACTCAGAAAGTCTTTGGTGTCAAGCTACAACAGAATTAAAATGAAAATAACACACTAAAATTAGTTACCGCTTCTGGTCTCCTTATTTTTCCAAAAAATTTTTTAAGACTGCCATGCAACCAGAGGCAACAAAGACACTCTAACCCAGGGAGTAGAAGTGTCCACCGGCATAAGTTTTTTTTTTGAAAGGAACTTGACAATGTGTACTGAGAACCTTAAAAAGATTAATGGAAAACGCATGGAGTTTGAAATGAAGTAGGCCTAGATTCAAACTTTTTCCTGGTTCTCTAACCTTAAGAAACCCATGCTCTCTTTGTAGTCAAAGATGAACCTGACAAAGTGTTGGTCTTGGGGTGTATAGGAGAGACCGTGGCACCACGGGATGAATACCTCTTTAATACATGTTTCACAAGAGAACCAATCATTCTGCCTTCCGGGTTGTAACTGATGAAGACTTGTAATTTTACTTTAAAGCAGTTTATCTTCCTAATCTCTGCTTTTCCTACTGCTACCACAATTTTAGTCTCCAACCTTGTCCTCATACATTCAGTCGCTGTTTCCCCTTGGTCAACTTTCACCCCCTTCAGCCAGATCCACTTTCCAAAGTATAATTATCATTAAATGTAAGACTTAATAACAGTAAACCTTCAGTAGTTATTAGGTACATTCTTAAACTACAGGTTGGAAGTAAGGGGGACCAAAAAATACTGACTAGGAACTTAGAATGAAATAAATATTTTATAAACATAATCTCTATTTTTATAATGCAATTAGATATTACATTATATTATTATTTACAGGTTAGGTGGCAAAAATTCGGTGCAGTCATTAAGTGGTGGGTCAGCTAGGAAGTGGCAGACTTCTGACTTGAACCAGCTTTTGTCATCACCATACCATCCCGCTCCCCAGCCCCTATGCCTCACTGTCAGCGTCCACAGAGTACTCCCCAGTCAGACAGTGAGTGTTCTGCGACAGCCAAATAACGCACAAAAAGACTGAAAAAACAAGTTACCTCCTCTACTTCCACCATGCTGTTCACGTCATTCTCGGTGCCCAGACTCCCATCCTACACTACTCAACATTTTAATAATTCATGCATCTCAAATGCCATGGCCCCCTTTCTGTTATATCCTGCTCTAATAGCCCAAGTACCTACGACTCCTTCTTCCTCTAAATTCCTGTTGTATTTAATTACTGAACTCAATGGTTTACTCACTGGTAATGATACTCACTATGCTAATTATGAGCGATTTCCCAGGCATATGCTCTGCGGTGGGCATGGTGACAGATCCTGGGAACTAAACAGGACTACACCTGACCCATTCTTTTGCAAATCTACTAGTTATACCATGCTGGTACACTTTGCATCCTGGTTAGAGCACAGTTCTCATTTTAAGTACTTCACCAGCCCTTGTTGGTTGTCAGAAAAAGATCCTATCTTATTCATCTCTGTGTCCCCAAGAGCATCTGCCCAGCACAGAGTGGGGACTTAAAAAATATTTGCTAAAGAGTGCATGATGGAATCTGATGGACATCTGCACATTTCAAATTCTGCCTTCTGTCTCCTAAGCCCTGCATTATGTTCGGTACCCCTTCCTTGTGCTCTTCCCAGCACTCCCAGAATGCTCCGTACTCATACCCAGTAGAGTTACCCTTGACGTCAAATGTAAAAACAGAGCAGAGGAAACTGAGAGCCAGAAAGCTGATGTTACTGAGCTGGAGGCTGCACTGCTTCTGATCAACTGAAGTAGAAGTTGAAGCTGAGACAGAACCGAATGGATACTATCACTTCTATCATGTTATCTCTTTAAATCAATGGGAAGTTCAGCACTTCAGTGAAAAAGGAATCTCATAGTTTGTGCATTAATTTATGCAAATCTTGTCTATTTAGGACATCAGTGTGTATTTTCATGTTATTTAGAACATAATGTTTAATTTGGTTTATAATTTCATCACCAAATACAACTACTGTACATTAGGTAGCTGTGTTTGGAAAAAAAAAATTTCACCCTAATATGTCCTGTGTCACTCAAATTCTGTATATTCACCTCACTTTTGCATGTACTAGAGAGATAGAAATTTTATTAGTTTGCATATTTTATGAGTATTGAAGTATCACACGAATAAATTCTCATAAAGTGGTATTATGTTTTCTTGGCAACAGGGCTTGCTGAAGACTTATTTTATTCTTATGAGATTTACTCTAAAGTTTAATTTTCTGATGCTATATTTTGATTTGTACTCTATCTCAATCACAGCAACACAGTTTAGTCATTCATATGACTTAAGCGGATGAAAATATTTTAAAAAGTGAAATGAAGAATGTGTTAACAATTAAACTGAAAAAAATTTAACTGCCATTAAAAACGGCAAATTATGCTACTATTTAAAGAGAAAGTCACACTTTCATGAGCTGTTGTTTCTGACTCCAGTGTTTCCAAAAGCCTCACTATGTAGTGTATCTAAAATAATGAATGAGTCAAATGATGTACGAGAGATTCTGAACAAAATTCCAGGTAAATCGGATGTCCGGAGCTAGATGAGAGGGAAAGACACAAAACAGCAGCATGTCGAAGCCCTACCTAGTAGTATCCTGCTCTTGCTGATGCCACCCCTGACTTCCTCATCGATGAGCTCAGTCAGCACCTGGCACATCACATCGATGGATTCGAGGTGCTCGGGGCAGTCGTTAGAGATCTTAAACCGGTCAAACCACACGTTGGAGGTCATCCCTTTCAGGGGAGTATAAGGCCTGTTGAAAACAAACAAAAAACAAGAAAAGGAATGAAGAATAATATTAAAAAGGTTTCTTTAAAAACTAATGTTTTGAATGAACAATTTCAATTTTGAGTTTCATGTTAAAGAATTCCTGTAACGCATATTCATTGTTTCCAATACTTAAAGCTAACTGATCAACTTACCTTTCCATCTTTAAAAGGTGGGCAACCAAAGGACTAGTGAATCTTAATGCATTTTGTTGCACATTCATGCTCTGGAGTGCACACACTTAAATATATATTAAATACAAATGCATATATGTGTTATTCTGTTTTTAACCAATTGCAGTGGAGTTGAGTGGCTCTGCATCCAAGCCCTGTGTTAGTAAATGAAAGGTGAACAGAAGCAATCTTAGAGACCCTAGGGTACAAGCACAAAGGGGTGTGTGTGCGGGGGTGGTACACTGGACAGACACGGAGAATGAAGGCTTGCCTAAGGTGCAGGACAGGAGAGTTTGATGAAGGTGCTGCTTATCACTTGACAAGTCCTAATTTTCTTCTAACACACTGGTGAAAAACAGGGTTTTCCTTATACATAAGACAGCCATGAAAACAGTCAGTGATGAAAGACCCATCAAGATTGAAAGCAATCTAAACCGAGGACGGAGACCCTTCCCTCTGATGGCCACAGACAGGTTTCCTCCCACACTGGTGTGCTTCTCAGACTCGGCCTCTCCAAATCAGGGAAGTAAAACACGAAAAGTGCTGCTAAACAAAAATACCAAAACAAGAAAACAAAAAGCAAACGAACAAAGCATAGTGCTCTCAGACCCCAACTGAGACCTACACATGATTTCCTGTCTCTCCTCCAGTGAAAACCCAAGGAAACTGCAGCAAGCTCCCAGAGCTAGAAAGCCCGTTCTCAAGGCCACACTCATGGATGTGCTGGAGGCATAGTGTATGCTGGCACTTCCTCCACTGCTCGCAGGCTCCACAGGAAGTGGGTATCCTGCCGGGCACCCGGGGTCAGGAGGGTTATGTTTGCAAAGCGTCTCCCAGAAACTGAAAGAAACCTGAAAATCAAAAGGTTCCCTGACTCAAACGGAGCAAAAACTCATACCCGGGGGAATCTTCTGTTTATTTAGAAAATAGAATCACATTATAAATGTCACTTTGCACCAAGGTTTCTAAAATTTGAGAGAAATATCCATGTAAGTCAATGCATAAAAACCTAACATTTCCCCTAAGCCATGCAAACATTTCACAAATGTGGGATCATGCATATGAATTTTAACTGCCATACAGGTGTTAATTTGATGTTTGTCATAGACACCTGTCTGCTCATTTCTGTCCCTCCCCTCCCTTCCCTCACACTTATGCTCTATACTACAGAATTATGTTAGTGATCTTGAAAGATGGCCTTCTACCTTTTAAGGCATGCTAGCACATTTAAAGGAGTTTTTAGAGCACTACCACTTTTCTGAGATGAAAATATGCCTTTCTTATATGCATCATGTTCTACTCTAGCAGTACCACACAAATTCTCCCACCTCATACAGCTCTCACCCGTGGTTTTAAACAACCGTATCACACTCTAAGCTAAAGATGCTCCACCATTTCACCCTCCATCCTCCTACTATGGAGCCTTCCTTGGTAGCCTGGTTCCGGCACTTAAGAACAAGGCTGCATTAAAGATATGTACATATATGTTTTTGTACCCTGGAACTTTTTATTCCTGTGGAACAGAGAAGGTGACACAGGATTGCTGGATCGAAAGGTGTAATTTTTACCTTAAGTTTCAATGCTGCTGCCATAAAGCCTGTACAAACTCACCTTCCAAGAACACAGGTAGGACAATATACCCATCTACAGTACTCATGGCCAGAGGTGTTCATATGCTTCAAAAGATCATTTAAGGGCAACAACTAGAACTTCAAAATCAACCTTTTTGAGATACTCCTTGCATATGTGAATGTGCACATTTTAAGTATAAAGTCAAGTACTTTTGAGAATGTAATCACCATCTCCACAATGACACAGGCCATACCCTTTCCTCAGAAAAGCCCATCGTGCCCCTGGGCAGGCAGTTTCCCTAGACTGCCTGGGGCCCCCACGGGTTTCTATCAATACTTAATCGCTCTGCTGCTCTAAAGTCCACGCAAAGACAAACGCTGACTGATGGATAGCATTTGGGTTTTCTTTTTTACTGGAGTTTTAACTTTTTTCTAACTAGTTTAGAAGAGCAGTTTTTCTACTACTGATGAGTATTTGTCATCTATTTTTCTTTTTTTTGTTTTTGTTTTTCTCCAGTACCAGGAACTGAACTCACGACCTTGCGCTTGCCAGGCAGGCGCTTTTGCCGCTGAGCTAAATCCCCAGCCCCTGTCATCTATTTTTCAAGCATTCCTTTCTAAACCTATTTTTGAACACTGACATGTATTTAAGCTTCCCTTTTTGTCAGGTAAGACTCCCCACTTCATGTAATGCCTTTTTTCCCCCAAGAATCCTAATTTGTTTATGAAGTGTTCTCTGGCCCATAGCTTTTGATATGTAGAATCCTGGATATTCTTCTAAGTTTTCTGCTTGGAATTTTATTTGTTTATTTTTTTTTATGGAGCTGTGGATTGAACCCAGGGACTTGCACAAGCTAAGCAAGTGCTTTACCACTGAGCTACATCCTCAGCCCCTTCTGCTTGGAGTTTTAAGTCTTAAACTTTGGGGAAACTGATCTCATACACGTGAGGATTCAAGGTTTTGGAGGTTGGACTCAAACCCGTTGTGTCCTACCCGGATGGGCAACTGTGCTGGAGGAGAGGCGACACCCACACACCCTTCTCAAAGGTGAAACTCCACCTCTGCCAAGGGCTTAATTTTATTCTCCACAATTTCGTTTCTCTCCACCTGCGTTCTGTGAGCGAATTAACCCTAACTCCTGAGACATGCACTGCATGCAGCAGACTTGGCCTCCTTCCAAAGCATCTCGTGTTGCTAGACTAGGCTGCCGGTGGGAACATTGAGTAACAGTGCTCTGTGATTCAGATGAGGAGCTACGACTGAGAGAAACTCTGTTTTGTTCCAATCATCTGTTTACGAATTAGTGTCATATTGACCATATTACCATTGTGTTAGGACATTCTGTTCTGAAGTTGTGTGAGGTAGGCCTCTCTTCTACCCTCAGTAATATCTTTTCATACTTATTCTCACTATTGTTAGGCACTCATTGCTCCTCACTGTACCAGAACAGCTAGAGAACATTCATTCATGTATTCGTTCACTCGGTGGTGCTCGTGACGGAACCCAGGGCCTTACACATGCGGGGCAAGTGCTCTACCACGGAGTTACTTCTCCAGCCTTTTGCATGTTTTATTTTGAGATGAGGTCTCACTAAGCAGCCCAGGCTGGATTTGAATTTGTAATGCTCTTGGTTCAGGCTCTTGAGTAGCTGGGACTATAGGTGTGTGCCACTGAGTCCAGCTAAATCCACCTTTAAAATACTTTCAAATAATTATCTTAAAAAAAAATCCTTTTGGAATTCTGATTAATGTTTTATTATTGGAAAATGAACACTTGAGGACCAAAAGTTGAGAGGAGGTCAGGGTTTTGTAGGCTGAGCTCTCCAGGTTTATATTCTCACCGAGGCTTCTCTCTGGAGCAGAGAAGATAAAGTCCTGCACCAGCTCTCTCCTAGGGCTCTGGAACCTAACTCTTCCCCCATCCCCTTTTACCTTCTCCTCCAGAAGCTGCTCGGTTCTAGGAAAGCAGGTAAGTTGGAACTGGAAAGAAACAGAAGGCAGCAAGCACTCAAGCCTTCTCCCAGGAAACTTCAGGACACGCTGCTACACACCGACAATCACAGCAGGTGCTTTCCACTGTCATTATCAGCCCAAATAAAGCCCCAGACTGTATTCAAATTGTCACTAAAATCACAGCGAAGTTCTAAATCAAAACCGAATGTACAGTACTCTGAAGTTCACATTAGACTGTTACCCTTTTGAATTATTTCTACTTCCTTTTCCATTTTGCTCTGCTCTTTCTCTAAGTGTTTATTTGTCTGTCTAAGCACTTAAATAAGGATGATATCATAGGCTAAAAAGTGAATCATTCTGGGAACTGAGCCATTAATGGGAAAAAAATGACATTCACTTTACTTTTTCCCCTCCGACAGTACCTTCTTTAATTAATTAGAGATAGATGGTCCGCAGAAGTAGAGTCCCAATGTAAGCATTTTATTCACCTAGTGGTTTTTAGTTCTCTCACTTCTCTAAGAAAGTTAAAACTTTCTGTTCAAAGGAGATAATCAGGAAAATTTAATGAGACAAAGAATAATTTAGAACTATTTTGCTAAGAAAACATAATCAAGTATGCATCAGTCTTCTAAAATGTTAGAATAACCTTTAAATACAGAATAAAAGACAGATTTTTAAACAGCTAAAAAAAAAAAAAAAAAAAAACCTGCCACATATGTTATAGTCATTCACCTTCTTCCTCAAATAAATCACTTTATTAGCTGGTATAAAACAGCTCAGACATGACCACAATAAATAAATATGTTTGGCAAAGAACATCTGTGTGGCTCCTAAATCAATCAATCAATCAATCCACCCATTACGCAGGGGTAAAATATTAAGCTAGAAAAAAATGCCCAAGGTTTTCTAAAAATAAAAAGACACTCAGCTTGATACCTACTTTTGTTTTGATCTTTATTCTCCTACAGTCATAAAACCGCAAGGTCGTCCAAAACCTTCAAGATAGCAGTCTGGCTCCTCGACCTCTCCGTTCGGACTCTAGGGACGCCCCAGCACCCGTGGGTGTACCTCACTCGCCTCCGAACTCTCCTCCAAGGACCGGCTCATTACCCACGTAGGCGCTTTGCATCTGAGCCCTCCACCCGAGTGCTGTCTGCCACCTTTCTGCAGAGCGAACCCATGGGGCAAATGTGACCTTCTCAAGAGAGCTCCTGCGACTCTAACCATGACCCTCACCCCCTACCCTGCAGCATATACACAGGCTCTCTACCCTACTGTTCCACCTAACT